TTGGAATAACTCTTTGAATGCCTATGGATGAAGGCTATTTCGCTTAAGTTGGAACGACTTTGATAAATGTACATATGAGCTTGCTTTTCAAGCAGCACATATTCAAAATTCTTTTCAAACAAACATAAAATCAAAGTGTTCCAAAGTGGATGAAAATAGTCTATATTTGTGTGCCTCACATAGTAAGCATAATAATCAAAACATGAGCATATATTGTACATAAAAATCACATCATGATTAGTAGAGGTCGATCTTTGATCGGGTGAGTGGGGTGCTCATCCATGACCTTCCCCTCTCATACCTAAGTTGTCGAGCCGAGATACTTTGGTTATGATGGACAAGTGGACTTTGGCACGAGTCATGGGTGTCCAAAACTTTCTAGAAATATTTAGGTGGCGAGTCTGAAATATGGCAATGCAGTCCATTTCTGGCATCTCTGATGATGAATGGATTTTCTAAGCTTTGCCGGATTTGGACTCTCATTTGTGTTTTTCTGTTTCACATTGCACTTGTGAAACCAGATTCAAAACCATGGGAGTCAGAACTGTAGGGCTATCATATTCGAGGAGACTAAACCCCTCTGAGGAGCACGAGAAACCAACTACACCATGGAATAAGTTAGGAACACAAAAGAAAATTGAATTAAGATAGAATGGTTTATCAAGATGGTGCTTCAATTGTGTATTGTTATGTGCTTTGTATAGGTGGGCATTCGAGGCATAGGATCGATCCAACCCACTGTGAGTAGTAACTTTATAAAGATATGTTCAAGTTATATCTATTTTTGAAATTGCTTTGTGATTGGTTGATTTAAATGCTATTTTCTTTAATGAATGAAGTTCTCTTTGAAATTGTATTCATGGCATCCTTTAGAGAAGCCCTTGAATTGGGGAAACAATACCACAACCATTGATCATAGACCCTTGCCTGGGGGTAACAATACCATGGCCATTAGAATAATTGAAACACAGAGATCTCTGATGTTAAGACCTTAGTGGTCCATTGACTGAACCTTGTGGTCCATTGAAATTGAAGTATTGTTGCTCTATGGATGTACCGCGTAAATTCTTATTGAACTATTATTGATATTGTGAAAACATAGATCATTCTAAATTGAATTGAAATAGAATTGTATTTGAAATAATATCGAACTTCATTCATTTAACTCCTTTATTCTGTTATTACTCACTGGGCCTTAGCTCACTGTTTATATATGTATGTAGATGAGCAAATTGAACATCAAGATTAGAGAGAGTGCCTCGGAGTCAACCCCATGTCAACCATTTTGAAGAGCTTCCGAGAATGAGCAAGCTTGGGCTTATGCAGAGCCAAGCAAAGTCAAAACCCCTTTTTGTTATGATCTTCTATTCTACACTTTTGTTTTTGCTACTGGGGGTTGTTTTAGATACTTGAAATATGTATTAAATGTTAAAAGTCTATTATGATGAATGAATGCATATATGTAAGGAATAGATGTATAATTGTGCTATGAGGATGTTTCATATATGCACAACTCAATGGATTATCTTTATGTCTTAAATTGTTTCTGCTAAGCCCTGTAAATTATACTAAGATTGATTTTGTTTATAGAGGTCATAGGTAATCTCAGATTACTAGCCGGTCATGACACTAAACCTATAGGGGCGGGTTTGGGTCATGATAGCAAGAAGGAAAGGAAGAAGAGGACAATAACAAGAATAAAGGAATAGCCTTCAAATCCACCTCAAAATATCAAAAGGATGAGCAAGATGATTTGGATGATGATGATAATGATGAAGAAATGGCATTCATCACCAAGGATGAGGAAGATGATTTGAATGATGATGAGGACGAGGAAATAGCCTTTAACTCCATTTTGAAAACACCTAATGATGGTTATCGTGTCTCTCCATCCTTAAACAAAAATCCTCCTAACTACACTCATCTTATAGGATTTCAATTTCTGACCAATAACCCAGCCGTAGACAAACACAATACCATTTCGGGCAAAGACCTATCACTTGAGATGAGACTGTTACATCATATCATAAACCATAACATCCTTCCCCGCTCTGGCAGATTTGTTGCAGTCACCTATGGCCATACTTATCTTCTTTGGGCTCTATTACAGATTTTGGGAATTTGGTTTGTCAAGTTATTATTGATGCCCATAAAAGAAACAACCAAGCCCTACCCTATGGAATGATTTTCACCAAGATCTTTAAACATTTCAAAATTAATCTCAAAGGTGAAGACAAAATCCCCAGAGACTCTGCTTCTTATGGCCCAGAAACTCTTAGCCACATGGGTTATTCATTGATTGACAAGGTTTGGACCAAAACTAAAAAACCAGTTACCGCTCCATCTACTCCTGATCCATCTCTCTCCATTGATCCTAATCTTCCCAATTCTTCATCAATGCCTCTCTCTACCCCTGGTCCTTCCTCTTCTGTTCCACCTCATGATCTTTTCTCTCTATCCACAAAAATTGATCATCTAGACTCTTTGGTTCAAGGACAACTGCTGGTAGGGATTGTTGAACTTAACTCTAGGCTTAATAATTTTAATCTTAATCCCCAATCTACACCAGTGCCAAAAAAGTTGATCCATTGGCTTCCATGGTTCAACAAATTCTCTCTCGCCAAACGGACATGCAACAAGAAATTGATAAGATGAGAGTACAACAATCTAAGGCAATTGAAGCTAGCAAGTCAAGTGTTGAGAACACGGTAAGCATTGTTTTTGGCCTCAAGCATCCCAATGAGGAATTTTGTCAACTTTTTCAATAGTGAATGGATCACGATCTTAGCGAACAAATTCATAAATTCATGCTTTGGTTCGTGCAAGATTGGCATGAAGCAGCTTCACATTGGCCTCGTGCTCCACCTTCTTTTTGCTAGTCCTTTTCTTGTTCTCTCTTTACCCCCTTTTTTTGTTGATGACAAAGGGGGAAAGAATTGCAGTTTTAGTTTTTATGTATATGAACTTGGATGAAGTTATATCTTTTAGTACAGGTTTTATTTTGATATAGTCTTGAATGGATATGAAACATGTGACACACAATGATTGATATGCATTCTTAGTACGTGAATAAGGAAATTGTTTTGATGGAAAAATAGCTTGTGATTTTATTCAATGAGATTGATTCTTGATTAGCTCTAATTTGCAAATCATATAGTGTATATTGACAGGGGGAGCTTGTCATATACTGTTCTAATTTTGCGAAAATCTTGTTGGCTTATGTTTTTGGGAGATTTCTCATTGGGTTTTGAAATGAAAATGTTTTGGCCATGAAATCCTTTTTATGGGGGGAGTTTTTCGATCTTGTTTTTAATCAATTATTTACAAAACTCCTTGAAAATTATTTCTTGAAACTCATGATTTGAAAACTTTACATATATTTGTCATCATCAAAAAGGAGAGATTGTTAGCCCCAAGGTTATTTACAATTTAATTTTATTGATTTTGATTATTGATAAATATCTTGAGCTTATTTAATTATTCAAAGTTTTGAAAATATTCCCATATCTTTGCTCTTCAAAGATGTATGCTTCTAAATTATTATATTCTCACAAGTATTGGAACCCCAAAGCAGTAGGATATGTATACTTGTGCAAAAAGGGTTGACACTGAGTTATGGCAAGATCGACACCAAAAAATAGTGAGCACAGCTTTGGTGTTTAGCAGCAAAGAGTCAACATCAAAAATATACAGGGCCGACACCAAAAAATAGTGAGCAAAGCCTTAGCTATTCAACAGCAAAGGGTCGACACCAAGAATATGACAGGGCTGACACTAAAGCACAGAGAACAAAGTTTAAGTCATTTAGTAGCAAAGGGTCGACACCAAGAACATGACAGGGCCGACACCAAAAGACAGAGAGCAAAGTTTAAGTCTTCCAGCAGCAAAGGGTCGACACCAAAACTGCAAAGGGTCGACACCAAAACTGCAAAGGTCGACACCCTTAAATCTAGGTTTCAAAACCTAGCAGCCATTTTTGATCTATGAGCGGACTTTGCTGCCATCATTATGAGCAGACTTTACTATCATCATTATGGAGATATATCTTATCACCACCTACCAAGATCTGTATTAGTAGGCATCACATCTTTTGAAGAGGCTCCACCTCCTAAGGCTTGTTGACAGCCTGTACACACCCATGCTCTACTCCAACGGCTAGAAGACTCACCCATACTTCTCTCCAATGGCTAGAAGACACACCTATCCTTCTCTCCAACGGCTAGAAGACATTGAAGTCTATAAATGTAGCACTTCTCCAGATCTGAGATGAGAGAACTCTGAGCATTCAAGTATTATTCCTAATCAATCTCTGCTACAGATTACACTTGTACTTTCACTTTCATAACTAAGTTTATTCTAAGTGTATCTCAAAATTCCCTTTGCGCTTACACTTTCATAGACATCGTTTGAGAGAGAAATCTTCTAAAAGAGGACTGTTGTACCTCTTGCTCTTATTCCTTTTATTTTGGGTGAAAACTTGTAAAGTGAGACATTTAGTTAAGAGGTCCTCAACGGATAAAGTAAGCCCAGTAGGCATTAAGTTGAGATGCACTCAACGGATAAAGTAATTCCAATGTAAAATCCACAAGCTTGATGAAGCTTTGGTGGTGTAATGATTTGATTCATAGTGAAAAAATTCTCGCGGAGGAATCTTGATGAGTGGACGTAGGCCGGTGTGCCGAACCACTATAAATCCTTGTGTTTGAGCTCTCCTTCCTTCTCTTTTATTTTCAGTATTATTGATTTCTTGCTAAAATTTATTTACTTGATTTATTACATTTAAATTTCTACAATTATTTTTTATTAACCCAATTCACCCCCTCATGGGTTGCCTACTTGGGTAACAATTCGTATCAGAGCCTAGACTCAAGTTTTGTGGCTTAACCGTCTTAGAGTGATTTATGGCAACTCTTAGTTTCTCTCTTCCTTAAGGTCAAGCCTCTAACAGACCACCCTTTTTCAATGGCACAAATTTTAACTATTGGAAAACTCGAATGATTATGGATATGCAATCTACCGACTATGAGGTCTGGAAAATAATTTGTGATGGTGCCAAAATCCCCACCAAAACCATAGACTACCGTAAGATTCCCAAACTTGAGAGTGAATGGACCTGTGCTGGCTATAAAGATACTCAAGCGAATGCCAAAGCTGTTAATATGTTATATTGTGCACTTGATGCTATTGTGTTCAATAGGATTTGTACATGTGAAACAACAAAAGACATATGGGAAAAACTTGTAATAACTCATGAGGAAACAACTCATGTTAAAAAGTCTAGAGTGAGTTTGCTTGTTCATAGTGATCAGCTCTTCGAAATGAAACATGATGAAACTATCTCCCAAATGTTTACTCGTTTTACTGATATTATAAATAGTTTGAAATCTCTTGGTAAAATTTATATTAATGTTGAAGTTTCCAAAAAGGTGCTCAGATCATTGCCAAAAAGCTGGGAAAACAAAGTTATTGCTATCATAGAAGCCAGGGATTTATTAACCCTAAGTCATTATGAGTTAGAGGGAGTGGAATTCCTTCCTCCAATCCCTCTGTGATGCTATCATCAAAAATAGGAAGATGGACGAAAACATCATCAGGAATGTTCTACAAAGTTCTAAACTCTGTAATACTTTCCTCAAACTCAAAGAAACATCCCAAACGCTTCATGATAAAAATAAAGGAAAACTAACAGAAGAAGAAGTAGCAAAAAGAAATTCAAAATCACAAAAAGCACAAGAGAGAAAAAAACTTACAAGGATTACAGACTGGAACTTCAAGCAAAGGACAGAGAGGAACCCGTATAGGGTTCTGAGAAAACGATGAGCAATGTGGTGAAAGGCAAGGAACAATCTCTTAATTAATGTGTTATAAGCGAAACGACGCATTGAAAGATGAAATGACAAGCGTCATCATTAAGTTTAAAACCACGGAAAAGACGCGTGTCACTAGCAAAGGTAACGATCCAGATTCCAATTAGGTCAGCCACGATGTCTTCGGCAATCTTCCCCAGAAAATCGCTAAAGAGAAGCAATTGTGGAGGGGTAAAAATATTGACCCAAAGCCCAGAGGTAAAAACATTAGCCCAAAGCCCAGGCCCAGCCAAGTAGGATGAATCAAGAGAAAAACCTAGATCATCGATAGGTCCGTCAAGCAAAGAAACAGTGTCACGTGACCATAACCTATGTAAAATCTCCTTCGAGAAGGAGATTTACGAAATGAAAGAATGCCCTTAGATCCATTCATAATCAACGGTAAGGACAGCAATCGTCAAAGATAGGAGCATAGGTCCAGCCTACTCAAATGACATAACCATCCGATGAACTTAATCGGATGGAGGGAGCAATCGACAAGTTGACCACTAGCACCTGACATAATCTAAGACATATACAACAAGATGATCCAACGGTAAAGGATCAAAACAACCTGGCCACTTGCCCGACCAAAGTGCGGCAGTAAGCAGAGCCCTTAGATTAAGATTCTAATCCAACAGCCGAGGCCTAAGACAATAACATTATAAAAGGAGGAATAAGGAAAAGCTAAGGAGGTAACACAAAGGAAAAACAAGTCTTCCTTTTTAACCAAGTATTATATGGTTGGTCTTCATTCTAACTTGACCGTCAGAGGGTCCTCCCGACTATCCCTAGTCGGGAGTGATCACTGACGAGTTGGTTTCTCTTTGCAAAGTAAAAGAAGGAGCACTTCATCTCACTTTTCCTATGGAGAAAATCTCTACCTTCCACACCCATCTTGAAGAAGCTCTCTGCCTTTAAGTAAACTAGCCCATGCCCAGTAGGCATTCAAGCCGTTTGTAGCCTTCATAAATGAAGAACGTGGGTAATAAAGACCTTTAATCATTGTAGCCCAATAGGAATTAGGATTGACTATGAGTCTCCATCCTTGTTTGGCTAGCAAAGGTTGATTAAAGCCCTTGAAATCTCTGAAACCCATACCTCCACTGAATTTAGGAGATGTCATAGTTGACCATTTAGCCCAATAAATACCTCAATTTCCAGGGTCACCCTTCCATCAAAAGTTCTTGATAATATAATTAAGCTTGCACAAAATGAGTGAGGAAGATCAAAACAAGACATCACACAGGACACTATGGATTGGACTACAGCCTTAATGAGAACTTATTTTCCAACTTGAGACAAAACTTGGATTTCCACCCTTGCATTTTTGCTAAAGCCTTCTCAAAAAGAAGATTATAAGCTCCTCCTTTAGATTTACCAAAAGACGCAAGAAGACCAAGATATTTGGCTTTAGGATCAGCTTGGGATACACCCAAGACATGGTGTTGGAAAAGAATAAAGGCTCTGATTTATCAAAATTAAGAATTTGCCTAGCAGCCGCATTGTACACCTGTAGAATCTTCAAAATACCCTGACAATCCGACCTTTTTTCTTTGAAAAATAAGATCGCATCATTTGTAAAAAATAGGTGTGACAGTTGTGGGCAAGTACGTTTCATCTTCAAACTAGTAATGGGTTTGGTATAGAGGCTATGTGTGATGAGATTAGTGAAAAATCTGCCACTATGAGGAAAAAGTAAGGCAAGAGAGGGTCATCTTGACGAAGTCCACATGAGGGGTTAAAAGAAGTACGTTTTTCACTATTTGCATACACTGAGAAGCTCACCGTAAAGACACATTCCATGATCAACTTCACCCTCTAATATGAAAACCCAGTTTTAACATATAAGCTTGCAAGAAATCCAACTGAATACGATCATAAACTTTATTGAAGTCTAGTTTCATAGCAACAAAACCCCTTCGACCCTGTTTATTGTGTTTAAGGAAATAAAAAGCCTTATGAGAAATAAGTATACTATCTTGAATGAGCCTACCAAGAACAAAAGTAGGTTGTTGAGGACAAATGAGCTGCTTAATACACACAGTGAGTCTATTGGCCAACACTTAGTAATTATCTTCATGAAAAAATTGCACAGACTAGTGGGTTGATACTAACTAAGCCTTTTAGGGTCTACTACCTTAGGAATTAGAATGAGGTTGGTGTGGTTCGAATCTTTGAGCATAAGACCATTGCTAAAGAAGCTCTCCATAGCCCTACAAACCTCCAGACCTACCACATCCTAGTGTTTATAATAAAAGAGTCCAGGAAAACCTTCTGGCCCGAGGACCTTAAACTATCTAAGCTAAAAAGTTGCAGACTTGATTTTAGCGTCCACCAATAGCCTGAGGGGAATGTCATTTATCTAATTTGTAACTAAGGGGGTGACCATAGATAAGGCTTCTTCAAAATTCCTTGGATTCAAAGCATTGAAGAGGTTGTTGAAAAAAGAATTGAGATGACTATTAATGGTTGAATCAAAGTCTAACCAGATACCATCTTCCCCACCAATTGGTTTCTTTGCCAACACTGTGTAACCGATGCATGGAAAAAAAAAAGTATTTCTATCACCGCAGTTAAGGCACTTGATCCAAGAGCGTTAGTGTTCGAACATCTCCTCCTCACGAAGAAAGACCACCTCTATCTCCTCTTGAATAATCCTAAACTGATTATTAGTGGACTCAAAATAGGAAAGTTGTTGAAAAGGGCTGATGATAAATTTTAGGTGGGCTAATTTGTAACGTCCCAAAATAATAACCTATCTCACAAAATTCAATAGAAACGCAATACATGAAATAATAACCTTTCATTTATATTTCTTTTACCGTAAAAAAGATGACATATGCAAGTATACATTCACAAATCCTAGATCCAGAATCTATAGCATATGTCACATATGCGTGAATTGAAATAAAAGGTTATACAGATAAGTTAATGCCCTAATGGCTACATCTTTCCAAGACAATGCTAAGGTACAACTAAAGTGAGGCCTGTACAAAATAATTACAACGAGAAACAAAATGAGCCTTCAGCTCCACAGTCCTCTCAAGCTAAGTCTTTAGTGGAGCCATATCATCAGCACCTGAAAGTTTTTTTCCATATGAGGTGAGCCAAAGCCTACTAGAGATACTTTAACACAACGTATGGAACTTAGCAAAGTTATAACATGAATACACATGCATGCCATTTGTCAAACTTTAGACTTCTCCATCTTAAAACAATGCAATGCCTTTATCAATATATTTCACTATGTGAAAGTAAACATTTATATCAAAAAACAGGGCAGTGGATAGAAAACACTGAAAATCTCTAGGAGCATGTTTACCAGTAGGCTATACAAGCACTACCAAAGGCATTTTACTGGTACTAATTAGAAGGATCAGCACCTAACCGAGCGAGTTTCTGGACATTTACCAAGGACACACAGGCTAACAATATAAACCACAACCACACCCCCTAACTAGATTCACCTAGGTATGCACCCATTTTTCTCAAAACAAATACATTTTCAATGTTCAAGTATGAAACAATGCTCGATGCACAATGTATGACAAGTTGGTTTCAATTTAACCTAATCCTCATGCAATTTCTACAACAATAAAGACTATCCTCCACCGATAGCCCAAAACAGATATTTCTACTCAATAGATAATTTGTTCGATAATAGATAAAATCTCAACATTTTCATAATGGGAGTGAGAATAAATATCCAACTTCACTCTCATCACTAACCAAAACCCTTTTTCATATCCTTTCAAAACCCAATATCTTTTATTTTCCTTTGATAAAACAAATATCAATAATTTTCAAATAAAATTTCCTTTATTTCCAAAATCACATTTAAAGAAAGATCCTTTCATATTTCAACACAACCCATCAATATACACACTTCCATAACCTTTTCAAGCATAGATTTGGACAACCCCTATTTTATATTTCACAATCAAACCCTAGGTTTAACCCAAAACTCCCAAATCACAAAGCACTTTCAAGGAACAAATAATTAAAATAAAAATCATACAAGAGGTTGAAGAAATACCCACCTTAAGAGTAGAAGAGAAAGAGAGCAAGAGTGAAACTTTAGCAGGGTCAAAAATGAGATCCTCTTCGGTTAGATTGAAGCTTTCGATGAGCTCTACTTTTTTCTCCAAAGAGCAATGGTGAAGAAATCAATGGAAGATGGAGCATTTGAGGTTTCAAACAAGAACTAGAGAGAGAAAGTGAAGAGATTGGGGTTTTAGAATGTTTTAGAGAGAAAGAGAGAGGGATGAAAAAGTGATACAAAAATCCCTTTTCCCGAACTAGTATACGCACAGACCGCTCAAGCGACCAAAACATCACTCGACCGTTAGAGACAATAAGTGACACCACTCGAGCAACAAAACACCACTCAAGCACACAATGACCCCTTCTCAAAAGTTTTGCAGACAGTAGAAGACCGCTCGAGCGCAAGAAGGACAGCTTGAGCGAAGATCACCATACTCCTAGATGTTTTACGGACTTGCAAAATAATGGGAGATCCCAAAGACCACTCGAGTGACCAAAACACCATTCGAGTGAACAAGAAGAAAACTGGACAACAACTCTTTTGAAAAACTAACTCCCAACCTATTTCAAACACGCCCAACAACTCAACTCAACCACTAACAAAACGACAAAAGATAAGCATAATAATTAAAGGCATTGAATCCCAGATCTAAGAGTAT